TCTGGTTCTTCACTATTAAAAATAATGCTTTGGTGAACATTTTAAACCCATAGTTTTTTGTTGTTGTTGTTTTCAAGTTTAGGATTATTTCCTTAGGCTGGTGTCCCAGAAGGGAAATTACTGGTCCAAGAAAATGAACTTTCTGAGGCTCTGGAAGCATATTGCCCTGTTGCTTTCCAGAAGTTCTTTGTGATTAAGGGAGGTAGGGACTAGAGTTCTATCCCATCTCAGGCTCCAAAGCATGGTTTTTGTTTGTCTGCATATTAAACTTCAATCCTTGTAATTTTAATAGGCAACCTTTACCCCAGGGTGGGGAGGGCTTGCCTTTCTTGATTGTTTGGAGAGTTTGGATATGGGTCTATGTATGTGTTTACCAGTCAGATCTCATCTTGGGGGCCCAGTGTTCCTGGTCTTGGCATTGTAGAGACCTGGAAGTGGCCTTTGGATTAACTGAGGACTCAGGCCCAAGGCAGGAGAGTTGATGGTAACACTGTGAGCAGCTGTGGTGGGCAACAGAACCAGGCTCTGATGCGAAATTCCTGAGAGGAAGCGAGAAGGGTTTGGGGCCCTGCTCCAGGACCTGGGCTGTGGGACAGTGAGAGAAAGGTGAGGCTAACTGAGGAGTGTGATGAGCTCAGTGGTGACTCCTGCTGGAGGCCCAAGTGTGTGGAGGTCTGGTTGGCTCCCCTGGGGGGGTGAGTGTATGCCCATCCCCTGGCCTGAGGGTCATGGCAAACCCCTCGGCTTTAGTCTTCCCTCAAGAAGCTACTGAAAGCCTGCTGCCTGCCAGGCCCTGTGCCAACTGCAGGACTGCAGGGTGGATGGAGGCTTGGTTCCTGCCTTCGAGATCGGAGGATTAGGGGACAGACATTTAGAAACCAAACTCGGCCTGTAGGTGTAGGTGCCTGGTGAGGGGCTCAGTGTTTATACAGAGATAGGCACATAGATGGCTCCCAATAAGCATTTGCCAAGTAGATGAATGGATGGAAGATGAATTGGTTAGCAGGCTGCCTGCCCTGAGACCAGATCCCCTATGAGAAGGGTAATGAGATGGTGGATTTCACGTGCCGACATGGCCAGGTCCTTCCTCAAACACCAGTCCAGGTGTTGCTGTGACGTGTGTTCGGTGGGTGTGCTTATCTCCTTTGTGTAGAGAACACGATTACCTTAATGGGGGTGGGCCTCCCCCCATCCAGCTGGAAAGCCTTACGAGCATCATTGGAGATTTCCCAAAGAAGAAATTCTGCCTCAAGATGCAGTGTCCACTCCCACTGGGTGGCTGGCCTGCCCTATGGAGTTTGGACTTGCTGGCCCCAACAATTGTGTGAGCCAAATATATATGAGCCCTGGTTGTGCAGCTGTTGAGAATCTCAGCTGCAAACTAAAAGGTTGGCAGTTCAAACCCACCAGCCACTTTGCAGGAGGAAGATTTACCAGCCTGCTTCTGTAAAGATTACAGCCTTGGAAACTCTATGGGGTAGTTCTACTCTGTCCTGCAGGGTTGCTATGAGTTGGGATCAGCTCGATGCCACACAACAACAGCTATTGCTCTGTTACTTCTCTGGAGAACTCTGACCAGTGGGAACTAGAATAGTAGTATGGACAGAGATAGCCAGAAGACTCCATTTGGAGAGGATGCGGGGTCCCCAGGACTCTCCCTTGGGCCCTGGTCAGCAGTCCTAGGTCCGATATTGACACCCAGAAGCCCTGGTCACTCTAGGAAGGTGGCTCCCCCACACAAGGGTCCATAACTGTGATGTCCTATGTGACAGCCAGCTCTGACGCTTACAAGCCAGATGGCTACTTGATTGACAGAAGCCTCCACTTCCTCATCTACAGCATGGAAATAGTGACACTGCCCTCACAGGCTTGTGGGAAGCTTGGCTGTGAGAACAGAAGCCAAGCGTGCAGCACACAACCGGCACAGCACCAGCCATTGATTTCCTTCCCCCACTTGTACTTTAGGAGAAAGTCAGTCTGCACACATTCAGGTCTTTGTTCTCGCAAAAACACTGTGTTGAAGCAACAGCCTTTTTTCCACGTAGTGTTGAACAACATTCCCAGCAAGCTTCTGGAAACTTGTGTTAAGATTTGTCCTAGCAAAACCCTAAATTATCCGACCTGTAAAAGAGAAGTCTCCTAATTGCACAGATGGGGAAACTGAGGCCCAGAGGTAGTGGGTTTCCCAGTGCTGTGTGGCCCATTACAAGTAAGCAAGTGCTGGAAACTTCTTATCCTAACCGAGCTTCCCCTCCCTGGTGCATCAGGCCTGGAGTGCTGTCGGGAACGCAGCAAAATCAGTGTGCCCTGGGCTCCTGTCAGTCCTCAGCCCTTCTCCTGCAGGTGCCCCCTTTCTGGGAAGCTCAGGAAGGGAAGGGCCACCTTGAGGTGTGGAGTCCAGAAGAGGAGCTTAGCTGGGGCCTGCGTCTCGCCAAGCTGTGAACTCCTGCCTTCCCCAGCCATGTCTTCATGGGCAGGGGAAGCTGAGTGATGATTTGGGAGACAAGTTGTAGCATTTGAATGCCAGCTCTGGGCTCTGCTGGTGGTGTGATCTTTGAAGAGTTGTTTCACCTCTGAGTCTCAGATTTCCTCAATGAGAAGAGTAATTGTATCTACCACATAAGTGTCCTGTGAGGATCAAAGGAATTTATTTTAGCTCATTTGTCAGTCTGCCATACTGTGGTGGTTTGAGTGCTACTGTGATGCTAGAAGTTGGGACACTTGTACTTCAAGTACCAGCAGAGTTGCCCATGGTGGACAGGTTTCAACAGACCTTCCAGACTGAGAAAGACATTCTACTTCTGAAAATTAACCAGTGAAAACCCTATGGATGATAGAGTATCATTCAAGACTTGACTTGACTTTGCTTGTTTTGGACGTGTCATCAGGAGGGACCAATCAGTGGAGAAGGACATCATCGTGTTTGGCAAAGTGGAGGGCCAGCCAAAGTGAGGGAAGCCCTCCGTGAGATGGCTTGATGCAGTGGACACAACAGTGGACTCAGACATGTCACCAATCACGAATGTGCCCAAGATCCAGCAACCATCCTACTGTTACATGTGAGGTTGCCATGAGTAGGGCTGCCTCATGGCACCAATCACAACAACGTATTTGTAAAGTTGTTAGAAAAGTGCTGGACCATGTGTTTCATATTTGTAGCGAGTAGGGAGTGGCAGGGAGCTCTGGTAGCATAGTGGCTAAGACACTTGCCTGCTAACCAGACGGCTGGCGGTTCAAACCCACCAGCCACTCCTCAGAAGGAAGGTTGGGCAATCCTACTTCCGTAGTGATACTGCCTCGGAAACCCAAGGAGGGGTCGCTATGAGTCAGGTATGACTCGACGGCACATAACAACAACAACAACAACAGGGAGTGGCAAGGACAGAGACGGAGATGGAGGGACACAGAGACAGAGGAGTGGATGCACAGCCTGTGCACTCTGTGACACAGCATGACTTCTGCTCCCTGCTGCCATGCAGGTGACTGAGGGGAGCTGGCCTCCTCTCTGCCCTCCATCCCCCATCTCTTAAATGAGGCACATGCACTGATTGATCCCTGGGGTCATTTCCAGTTCTTCCATCCGGTGGGAACTGACCAAAAACTCACTGCCTTTGAGTCCGTTCCACCTCATAGCACTCTAGGACAGAGCAGAACTACCCCCATAGGACTGCCAAGGGTGCAAATCTTTACAAAGCAAACTACCTCATCTTTCTCCTGTGGAGCAGCTAGTGGGTTTGAACTGCCAGCCTTCTGGTTAGCAGCCAATTGCTTTCATCATTGCACCACCAGAGCTCTTTGGTGGGTACTTAGAAGTGTTTATTTTGTCAGGAGCCTCTGCTGATTCCCTTACATCAGCAGGAATGGAGTGTCCATCTTCCCGAGATAGGCCAGCCAGCTGCCTGCCCTTGCTGGCGTGGAGCTGAGCCCGTGCTCCAGAGCCACCCTGCCAGGGAGCCACCACCCATCTGCCACCGAGGCCCCACCCAACAGCACACAGCAGGGTGTTCTCAGTGAGGTGGAGGTGGCCCTGGCTTCAAGCTTTTCCTGCAGGTGCAGCAAGGTGACAGAGGCTCTGTTTGCAGGAGGTAGTCCTGCTGATGGAGGGGCAGTGAAGTCCAAGCAGGCTGTCCAGGGATACTGCACTTGGGGTGATTGGAAAATTGTAAGGCAAATCACTAATGGGGTCAGCATTGGTTTCTGGGGCCTCCAGCTCTGGAAAACCTTGTCCATCTGACAGCTTTGGGAGGCTATGAACATTGAAAGGCCCTGAGGCTCCTGGGAGATTCTCTAGGTATCTGCCTTACCTTGGGAATAAGGAAGCTCAGGAAGGTGGCCATAGTAAGATGGTAAGAGTACCAGCTTGGGCGTCAGAAGTGCTAGATTGTCACCTGGCTCTGCCTTTACTAGCTCTGGCACCAGGACAGACTCTTAGCCTCTCTGACCGTCTATGGCTTCATCTGAAATTGAAGGCTAATAATACTTATCTCATGAAGTGGCTATGAGGATCAAATTAAATGGGCTATGAAAGCAAATACAAGGCATGGCACCTGGAGGAACTCCATTAGCATCTAATGCCATGATCCATCCTGCCCGCCAAGGCACCCCCATCTTGTCCATTTTGACCTCCAACCCTGCCTTACAATAAATCATCAATAAGAGAGGCACCCTCCATTAGTGGTGTTCTTGAAGGGTCAGCAGGGTTGTCCACCAGGTTTTTGTTGTTATTAGTTTCTATTGCGTCAGCTCCCACTCATCATGACTGTATGTGTAACAGAACAAAACATAGCTCAGTCTTGAGCCATCTTTATATCACTGGTATGTTTGAGACCATTGTTGTAGCTATTGTCTCAATCCATCTCACTTGAGTTTCCCTCATTTTCACTAACCTTCTGCTTTACCAACCATGACGTCCTTTTCTAGTGATTGGTCTTCTCCTGACAATACGCCCAAAGTAAGTGAGCCACAGTCTTGCCATCTGTGCCTCTAAGGAACACTCTGGTTTTATTTCTTCTAAGATGGAGTTGTTTGTTCTTCTTGCAGTCCATGGTATATTCAATATTGTTCACCAACATCACAAGTTAAATACATCAATTCTTCTTCTGTCTTTATTTGTCGTTGCTATAATAGTGTGTGTTGACTGTCCAATGTGGGCTGCGTGGATGGACGTACACTCAGTCAGTCATTGGTGAACCTTTACAGAGCAGGTGCCCACTGGCAGCTGGGGGGCTCCCTTGCTCAAAATCAAGGGGTTGAGAGCACTTGGGGTCCCAGGCGCCATGGTCCCAGATACCTCCAGCATTCATTCTGCTGGTGCATCCAGGATGGGCTACTCTTTGAAATGGATTGAGGTAGAGCCTCTGCTTGAAGGACAAGGTAGATCATGGTGGAGCTTCCTGTTAATGGACTTTGTTGGCTGGAGATGTCAAGAGGGAAGGGCCCAGCCAGGGGAACTCTCAGCCTCCTTCCCAGACCACACATGGGACCACAGTTGGCTTATGGGTGAGTTTGCTGTCAGGGTAATGCTGGTCTCACAAAATGAGTTACAGAGTGTTTCTTCTGCTTCTGTGTTCTGGGGAAGATTAGAGGGAATCACTACATTTCTTCTTTGAATGTTGGATGGAATCTACCAGTGAAACCTTCTGGGCCTGGTATTTTCAGTTTTAGAAACTTATTAACTGTTGATTCAATGTCCTTAATAGATATAACCAAGTTGAGATGATCTATTTCTCCTTGTGTGAATTTTGGTATATTGTATCTTACAAGGAATTGGTCTATTTCATCTAGTTATCAAGTTTGAGGGCCTAGAATTGTTCATAAAAAATGCACTGCCATTGAGTCAGTTCTGACTCATGGCGACCCCATGTGTTTTGGAATACAAACATGCTCCACAGTTTTCAATGGCTGTATTTTCCAGAAGTACATCACCAGGTCTTTCTTCCATGACACCTCTGGATGAATTTGAACAGCCAGCCTTATCTATTTAATGACCATGGCATCAATTGTGATAGCCTCCTAGTGAATTTTAGTGTAAGTAACGTGTGTCTTCTCTTTTTGACCAGTTAGCCAAGCTAGAGGTTCATCAGTTTTATTGATTTATTTTCAGGAAAACAGCTTTTGGTTTTATTGATTTTCTCTGTTGATTTCCTGTTTTCAGCAGGTGAGTCTGCTATCATAATTGGATGGGTAAAACTCTCTGAGGACAGAGAGTGTGCTCAATTCTTCCTCATGTTTCTGGGCCATGTCATGTGGCCTGGATCCCCCAAGGTGATGAGTGTGTGCTTCTGGAATAACTGATGAATTATTGAACTGAAGCCCGTCACTGTAATGCATATGCTTGTTCATTCCATGAGCGTCATTGAGAATGTGGTGTGTGCAGGAGAAACTAGGTGAGGGTCCTGCCTCTAAGGCTCACAGCAGAGTGGGGAAGTCAGGTGAAGCCCTGCCTCTGTGGCTCACAGCAGAGTGGGGAAGGTGAGGCATACAAAGTTTAGTCAGTGAAGGCACACATGTCCTGGGAGAGGAAGAGAAGGGCGACTTGATTCTGGAAGGAGAAATTACTTCTGGATAGGAATGGGGAGACGGGAGATCCTGAGAGTCTTCATGGAGGAGGCAGATTTGAGTTGGGTTGCAATAGTGATATCTACCATGTGTCGTCTTCTGCTAAAGACCAGACACTTGACCTAATCACACATTCTGACCAAGCAACCAACCAACAAAGGAAAGATGAGAAGAATATTTTAATTGCTCCTAACAAATAAGGAGCTCTGGTGGCATAGTGTCTAAGGACATTTGACTGCTAATGAGAAGGCTGGTGGTTCAAACCCAAACCCACCAGCTGCTCCGTGGAAGGAAGATGGGGCAATGTAGTCCTCTAAAGATTTACCACCTCAGAAAACCAATGGGGGTTGCTATGAGTTGAAATCAACTCTATGGCAGTGAGTCTAGTTTATTAGATAAATGAGAAGGAGCTCTGGTGGTGTAGTTAAGGCATTTGGCTGCTAACCAGAAGGTCGGTTGTTCGAACCACCAGCAACTCCACAGAAGAACAATGAGACAATTTGCTTCCATAAAGATTTATAGCCTAGGGAACCCTATGGGGGTCACTATGAGTTGGAATCCACTCAATGGCAGTGAATTTGGAGTATTGGGATTTAATAAATGAGTAAGGAATCCTTGTCACTTACTTCCAGGGCTCCTTTCTGCAGAGGGAACCCTGGTGGCTTGGCAGTTCAAATCCACCAGCTACTCCTTGGGAGTAAGATTAGGCAGTCTGCTTCCATAAAGATTATAGCTTTGGAAATCCTATGGAACAGTTGTACTATTCCCTACAGGGTCACTGTGAGTTGGAATTGACTCAACAGCAGTGAGTTTCATTTGGGCTTTGCTTCCATAAAGATTGACAGCCTTGGAAATGCTATGGGGTCATTCTACCCTGTCCTTACAGGATCACTATGAATCAGAATTGACTCAGCCATGGGTTTTATTAAACAAGTAGATTTTGGTTCAGAGGGATTAGAGTTTTTGTCCAAGGCCACGGAGTGAATACATGGAAGAGTAGAACCTGTGTGTGTCTCCCCTAAAGCACATGTACCTCCCACCACCCTAAGCTGCCTTCTAGTGCTAGTTGGCAGAGGTTGGAATGGAAGGTGGGCTGTCTGAAAAGAGGCACAGATGGCCAAGCAGAACGGGAAAGGGGAAGCATGTGCTCAAATGGCAGAGCCCTGACTGAGGCAGAGGGCTTCTGGCAGGGGAGGATGGAGATGGGCGTGGAAGACCTGTGGCCTGGCTGGAATTAGAGCTTATGCTGCATGTGATGGGAGGCCATCGGGGTCTGGGACCAGGAGGAATACCAGACTGGTAACTGGAAGACCACTCTAGCAGCAGGTATGCACTCAAAGGTCATCACTTTCCTCATCTGTAATGTTAGGACCTTGGAGCCCATGGGCTCTAAATCCTGGGCAGCTTAGCCATCCAGGAATCCAGGGAAGAGACCAGCATGCTGCTCTCATGTCTTCTGCACAGAACCCAGGGAGGAGAAATACCCGAGGCAGGCTCAGGAGACCCCGATTCTGCCCCAGCACCAGCATGCCTGGCTGGGCATTTCTCTGGCCTGTGACCTATGCTCTTTGACCTCTGGCACACTGTGCACCCCAGGAACACTACACTATTTGTGACTCCCCTGTATCCCGCGGGACCTAGTGGACCATGGATGCCAAGTGTGTGCAGACACAGGGCCTTTGCTCATCCTTCCTCTTCAGACGGCAACTGCAGGGCATCCAGTCGGTCTGCTGCCTGGTGACCACTGCCCAGTCCTCATTTTTCCCTGTCTCTTCCTTTGCCAGGGGGAGCAAGGCCTGGATGGATTTCCTGGGAAGCCAGGGGAGGCAGGACAGCAGGTAGGTTGTATTGATGCTGGTGGGCTAGATTTTGCTGGAAGACAGGAGTGGCTGGATCCTGACAGTTTTCACCTGGGGACTCTGCTGGGTGGTCACCTGAGTCCTACAACACCTGCGCTGGGAGGGGTCCCAGAGAACATACTGCTTTACATCCACTCTACCTGAGGTCGTGTGACCTTTAGTATGGATGGAAAGGCGTGGACCACGTGCCCATGTTCCAAATGATGTAATGTACACAATTATTCATGGTGATCTTATCCATGATAGTAAGAGATTAGAAACCACCTAAAAGCTCATCACTAAGAACATAGTTGAATGAACAAAGGTGTCTTGACACAAGGGAATGGTAAGAAGCTGTGAAAAATAGTGAAGAAATCTAAAATGGATGGTGCAGAGAGGTTAATGTTAAGAGAAAAATAATGTTGAATGGCATAGGAAAAAAAGACATCCGTGTCTTATATAGGAATAGACTATCTTTGGAAGGAAAAGAAACGAATGACCCTGTTGCCCCTTGCAGAAGATTCTAGGGGGCTGGAACATGGTAGGAAGGAAACTGTGGTGACATGGACATTTTGAACCGTATGAATTCAAAACATAACTGTATTTAAATGGTTAAAAAATAAAGATTAAATAGAAGTTAAAAATTTATATGTTCATTGAAGACAGGGCAATACCTATTACATAATATAACTTGATATATGAATTTGTTAGCCAGTTAACATGTGTATACAAATAGCAACATAATTAATATATAAAATGTTGTTGTGTACCATCGAGTCACACCTGACTCATAGTGACCCCTCCTTGGGTTTCCGAGGCAGTATCACTACCACTACGGAAGTAGGATTGCCCAACCTTCCTTCCGAGGAGTGGCTGGTGGGTTTGAACCGCCAGCCTTCTGGTTAGCAGTCAAGTGCCTTAGCCACTAT